TGTATATTTATTTTGGTTCACACACACACACACACTCTCTCACACACTCTCTCTCTCTCACACACACACACACACACACACACACAAGCGCTCGCGCGTGTTGTTTATTTCCCATCCATAAAACTGCTACGGGGCGCCATTTAAGTATGCCGACACTACAAACACGCAGTCCGGCTCTACAACACGGCCTACTTATGTTTTAACATCCAAATCAATAAAGTTCTGCATAAAATGAAGAAAACACTCGAAGATATAAAATCTGCATACTAACCTAAGACTTTTTTTTAACTTTCTGTCTGTTGCTCTAGACTTAAACTTGTAATGGGACCTGCAGACATGTATTTATTTCCAGCTTTATTTATTTATTTATTTTTATTGCACCAAGTTTCTGGTAGTAAATAGAAACCAGTGTTGCGCACGCATTCAACACAATTCGTCTCATGAGAGAGAATGCCTTGCATAGCAGTTGATACACGACAATTTATAAAAATAGAAAGGACTTTTTTTAAGAATCCAACGATCAGAAGCGACTTGGAAAAAAGACTGACGATGGTAAGCAGACGTACGTTATATCCTTGTTTTCAGTCTAAAATGTGCACAACTGAGCTGGAAGTTTAATTTGATGGAAAGGGTTGGTTTATTAAATAAATAATAACTGTCGTGAGTCCTCTTCTTAACTAACTCTAAATTCTTGTGACGTCAGGCTACTGATCAGCCGGCGCCGCAGCGCATGAGCCACCCTAAAAGCAAGCAGCCGAACGCCGAGATCCCAGGGATAGACAGACCCGATGGTCAGACAACCGGAAAACAAACGGCTATTGGCTGCTTGTATCAGCTTCGACTATCAGGCGCTATGTAATCAAATCCTGCCAGAAAAAAGAGTGGGTGAGGTGGGGGAGTACAAATACAAACGAACAGCAACGCGCTTGTGTGCGAGCTGTGCGTGCTTTTCGTGCTTGTTAATGACCGGGTGAAATCCCATTTTCAGCACTTCAGCACACACCTCTGGTGTCAATAAACAATCAATCAGCTTTCTGCACATTTTATCTTGAATAATTTAATCCGATATCAAATTGCATTACTGTATAATAATTGTTAGCTTAATAAGAACTCGGTAGAAAGTAATGGCAACAAAATCTTTGAATTCATCAATCTATTAGTCTGATCCGAAGGTTTACACTGAGTCAGTCTGAGTGCTTTGAAAGATTGGCCGCCGAAACAAACTCAATTTTTACTATCGCAATCGCCTAATAGGAAATAATCCAGAAGTTCCAGGAAATTTCCAACTCTGAAAATCAGACGTTCCTAATACTTCAGCTGCAGCGTCATACGCGCTTGTTTGGGATCATACTTAGAGATTGACATCACGTTTGGCTCACTCGGAATGTTAAAAGAAATTGAAGCAGTAGATGTGCATGTACATTTTTGCAGTTCTTGGGAATGTGAGATGTGTGTGTGCATGCATGCGTGTCTGAGTGTTTATGTCCTGCTAGTCCTTGGATTGGTCCTTGTTTTGTTTCTTCATTTTCATCCTCCGGTTCTGGAACCAGATCTTCACCTGCCGCTCTGTCAGATTGAGTGCGCGCGCCACCTCATGTCGCCGATCGCGCGTGAGGTACATGTTGAACAGGAACTCCTTCTCCAACTCTAGCGTCTGGTATTTGGTGTACGGACAACGTTTCTTTCTGGAGGAACGTGCATGAAGCCAATTGGCCGATGGGTCATCTGCAGGAAGAAACGACAGAAAAAAATTCATCGATTAAAAAATGAAAATTGATAATCCATGCAGTCACTTTAACACTATTTTGTGTTCACGGCATCTTGAAGACAACACTAGACTCAGCAAATGACACTTTTATGCACGTTATTAATAACACATAATTTGGACAGAAGTAAAACCATGGCCCTTTTATATGGCATCACATCAAAGCCACGCGGCCTTCTTTCCATGAATACCCTCCAGTTTGCAGATTAAAAATGACAGAGGATTAAAGGGGAAAAAACAGAAAAAGAAGAGAAAAGAAAAACTCGGACTACCAAGCTGGTTTCCTTTTTTTCCTTCTTGTTGGTTAATTTTTAAAAATTACTATTGAACTCATTTGTACCTCACATTGGCTTCACGCGCCAGTCAAGGAGGCAACTATCGATAACAAGAAAACAAAACAAAAAAGCAAGGCAAAGTTGAATGCACAAGGAGTAAGCACTGTCTCTATATTTGCAGCTTAATCTAATTTTATGACAAAAGAAAGCAAACACACAAACACACATTGGTGAAAGTGTTCTATCTTTTGGTTTTATGTAAGGATTATGATTTCAATAGAGCGCTAAATCCATCGCTTGTGTAGCAATTGTTCCTAAATTTCCTAGCTGTGGGAAATCTATAATCCAGAAAAAAGGTTGCTTTGCTATTCATTAAGCATACTGCGATTTGGCTCTTTTGAGTGCAGTAGCAGAAATCTGAATGAAAACTAAATGTTTTTGGTTTCGATGAGAACATAATGAATTTCTCTCAGTTATTTCCCTCGCTGTCTTTGCATCGCCTCCTTGTTTGCCAGGCCACTGTGCCCCCACCACCCCTTCTTCCCATCACCACAACCCCGTTTATAGCATTCAGGACAGTGTAATTAGCCTTAAATTCTCGTTTAGCAGGCATGGGTTTGGTTTGGGGCTCAAAGCTAGGCCCCCCCGGATCTCCACTATCAAGCAGGTTGTAAGGAGTCTCCCGGCATCTCAAGTTTCCAAAGGATAGTTACAGATCAAAACAAAGCCCCCTACTCAATTTTAAACCCGTTGATAGTGCTTTTGTTCATCTGAAAGAAAATTGCGCATCCATAGCTCGTTCTGGTGCATTTCCATTTTTATATGTTCTAAATAAAATCTTTAACCAAGCGCAAGCATTTCCTGTGGTTAGGTCAGAGTCTTCCTCCATTAAGTCAAACCAACAAACGGAAACGCCTAGCAGTTAGAATAACTAAACTTTAACAAAGAAAAAAAATACATCCAATGTTACCAAGTCAGGCCTTAAAACTCCAAAAAAGACAAATAAAAACTCAGTTTTAAAAGCCATAAAATGCCATCAGCAATGATAAAAATGTGGGACGCACAGGGGAAAACAAGAGCATGCTGCGATTACTTCCTTTAAAGCTGCTGTTCATTCGTTGCAGTGTTATTTGATTTTATTTCATTTAAAGGAAATCAGAGAAACAAACCACAAATAAAGTCTAACCATCAGTATGTCCTGGAAATAGTTACTTTTTCTGAATCTTTCTGATTCATCCTTGCACCCACCAGCAGGTCTCCAGCAGGTGCTATGTCCTTTCATCATTTTCTCCTCCGGTTTGTGTTTGTTTGCGTGTATGCGTCCTCCTTTCATGTTTGCTACGCCTCTGTGTTCACGTGGCTTGATTTTGTCTTGAAAACACATGGCTTAATATAAAGTTAAGCCATGTATTTCTATAAGAATGACTTCTAGAACTGCGACCTCCAGAATAGGTTGTTCATTTGTGAGGAGAGTAAATAGTGGAAGTCAGAGTAAGGGCAGATAATTATAATTCTATTGAATCTCTGCCCCAATACATCATCAGAGTGTAATTCGTTATTGTTCACCATAAAAAAAAAAAAGTTAAATCAATGACACAAAAGGTTTCCCGGACTAACATTAGAAGGTGTTTTACAAAACGTAAAGAAACATGTAAAGAAATATGAGGTATAACAACTTGGTAATTAGAATCTAAAGAACATGGCAGACAAAACGAACAGTCATCTATATTACAGTAAAATGCAATTTCTTGAAACGACAACTCACTCAACTCATTCTAATAAGACAAGGTTATTCACTTTATATACAATAAATAAGAAATATTTCATATCAATTAACTTCTGTTTAATCTTTTTTGTCATTTTTTCCTGTTATCATTGCCCTTCCCAATTTACCATTTGAGGTGGCTGCTCCTCCCTGAGACTGTTTCTCCTCCTAAGTGTGGAGTTTGTCCTCCACACCATCACTAAGTGCTTGTCATATAATCATCTAAGTAATCTTGTAGGGTCTTTAAAAGATAAAACACCTTGTGATTACTGACATTCTGATCTGGATCCCATTTTATATTTATGTAAAATAAATTGTTTTAATAATTAGATATCAAGCAACTCTTTGAGTTTGAAATGAGTAAATACAATAAGGATATTAATTCTCCTGCATTTCATGGTGACATTTGCAATTGGCTTGAAGTTGACTTCTATTGTAGTTTGCCACATCCATATTGACTTCCTGATGAAGGCTCTTTGGGTCCGGTTGATCTTGTACAGTTCTAAGCATTCCAGGATCCATGTGTGAGCCATTCACTCATAGGCTTTCTTGTAGTCAGTCCAGGTGGTGCATGATTGGTCAGTCTCATGTTGCAGAAAATGACTGCTCTAGCTACCAGTAGCTGGTGTTTTGCCCCTCTGATGTTTCTGCCAGTTCCTTTCTGGGGTCGAATCATTTATTGAGCCATATGCCTGTTCATCTTAGCTCCTATGATGCCTGACACTGTGGTTCATCTGTACTGCCAGAGGCTCATGCAATATAGTTAGCTTTTTTAGTCAGTACGTGTGAATGACGCTAAGGACTGGTACTGTCCAACTCTTCATATTTGAAACTCTTTCTTGGATGTCTGCCACTGTGATGGCTACTGGAAACGGTTCAGGGAGCTTGCTGTGGTGAGCTCTTAGCTGCACTAGCCACTGAGCATTGTTGTTATTTGCTGTGTCCTTGTCCCATATGCTCTTCCAGTACTGCTCTGTCACCAGCCTTGGTGGGGCTGCTCTCAGTCTGGTATACACAGGGCTGTGTAAAGTTTCTGAGAAAATTGTTTAGAAAGAAAACATTCTCCCTTGCTGATCTGTTGGCTTATATTTTCTTCAATAACTGCTTCCATCAGATATAAAGTTCCTTGAGATGACTGGTGTTGTGAACTGACACTGTATATAACCAGTGGGTGGCATGATGGCTATGGCCGTCATTTGTATGCAGTCTATAGTAATCTTGCAATGCTTGAAACTCTGTGTTTTGAAGATGATTGCATTATCTAGAATCTGTCTCTGCTTGGATTTGACAGAAGATATAATTTAGGTTTCTCTTGTGTTCTCCCTGCAAGTTGAATTATAGTTAGTGGCCATTGTCAGTAAATATATCCTTAATACCTTCTGGAATTAATTTCCTTCAACAAAAGCAGCATGTAGAGGATATATTTCAATGCAGAACAAAATAATGTCCAGTAAAGTGATGAGGCTGGTGGGAACTAGGAGGGTGAGAGCTTTTGTCACTGTAAAGTGTGTGCTTTGCATTCCCTGGGTGTATATTCACCTCTAGGACCATTCATTACTCTCAGAGCTGTGCCGTGACGATGGCTGTCACCCAGGATGACAAACCGATTGAGGAGTGGGAGAGTTTGGAAAGGGCTGAGTTAGTGTAGACATCTTTTTTCTAATATATGGGAAGTCAGAGAGTATCTCGATAGAAAGAATAAGGCTGGGGTGGGGTGTTGCTTGTATAATGGTAACCCTTGCTTGTATGTTAACTTTAAGTTTTCTCTAGGTTACATCCACATAGTTGCAGAAGCTTGGTGTTCATGGACAGGCACATGGATGAAAAGATTTACGTTCCCCTAAAGCTGCCTGCTATAGCCCATGGCCCTGCAGCTGATGTTCAGTTGTTAGCATGTGGGTCTTTGCCTAGGTGTGTGTGTGTCTACTTTGATGAATGCATGGAAACAGCAACTGAAACAGTTAAGATAAATATCCCATCCAGTCTCTTTTTCTCTGTGTGTCTTCCTCCCTTTGCAATTTCACCCTAATAGTTCCAGAAATTGACCTCTCATATATCCCAAAGGCATGTTATTACATTTCCCAGAGTCATATTTTATCCCGCTCCCATACTTCCCCATCCCCATCCACCGCCAACACTTATACCCCACCTCACCAACAGCAACACGCCAATTAATGGGGTTGTTTACTCTGTGTTATAAGTTAATAAAGTTCAAGGTAATAACTCTCTCAACCTGCTTGGCAGCAAAAGCAGAAGCACAAAGACTGAAGTGTAATCTTGTAGTTTATTCTGGAAAGCAGCCCAGTGCCAGCAGCATAAAGAGAAATCTGTAGCTGTAGACTAGCGTTAACTGGATAGGATGTTTTCAAAGGTAGCATTCCAGTGATGTTATTCACATGGCGACCATTTTAAATACTCAGCCATAATCTGAAGATAGACTACATCATGCAGACACTCATTTTTATATATTCCTCCCTGAAAACAAGTTAAAGAGGACAGGTACAGTTTATTAGACTGATTTCACAAGCAAAGCTAATCTTAGAACCTGGCTATCACAGCATGTTCATTTTCAGATTTACAAGGTTGGATCAGGGAAACAGTCAAGTTTTTCATGTTGATAAAAAAAATGTCCAGAATGTTTCTGTGGTTGACGACACATGAATGCCAAAAAGTAAAACTTTTTCAGAATTCTTCCAACACCAACCATCTGTTCAAAATTCCTTATTACTATCAAATAGGGGAGGGATTTTGCCATGCTGTAGCTGACACATTTAAGTATATAAAGTCAACATTTTCAGGGGAATCTGGTTACTGTGGAGGACTGCATTGTTAGGCATTTATATGTGACCACTTCTATCTGGTATAAGACCCAGTGTTACGTGAATAATAACAGAAAGTACATTTTAATGTTCTAATTTCATGAGTACACAATATGTAACATGCCTGTTTGTGAGTTTTAGAGGTGCTGAAAATTTTATTTTGCTACCTTTGGAAATTAATGGCTCCTTGCTTCGCTGTTTCCAAGTTAAGTTAAGCTAATAAACGTAATATGTATCCTACATACATGAACATGGTTTCAGTCTTCTCATTTTACCTTTTTCAAGGAAGCAAATAAGAATGTCCCTAAAATGCCTAAAGATGTGAAAGAAAGTCATTCCAAACCAAAGAGTTTTGAAAATGACAAATGCAAATCACCAAGTGTGTTTCCACCCAAACGGCTTTACCACTGCTTTACTAATTACTCAAAAAAAAAAAAAGTCGCGCGGGGAGGCTCAATCAACGCAGTGTTGTGACGCCACCATTTTGAAATGTCCACGTTATGAAAAAGAGAAAAGGCTTTCACATGCTGCTTAGTATGGCTCCCACTACCTGAAACATTAAGTCACTGCAATACGGACACAAAGAGAACACAAATCAACCAGAGAAAAAAAGTTTCTATGGCTGCTTTTTGAACCCTATAAGACAGCTCAGAGAGAAACTTTTTTTTCTATTACTCATTCAAACAGGGGAACAGAGGAACTCTTCAGGAGGAGCACCTTCACGAACACCACGGCGCTACGAACGGAAAGTCTAATAATTCAGACTGGAGCCTGCTAGCCTCCATCCTGTCTTTAGACTAGCTCACTGCTCTGATGGATAGCGTGCTCAATCGCACTAATAAGCTGGCTGTGCATGTGTATGCATATGTGTGTGACTCTAGTGTAGTATTCGTGTATATATACACTAAACGTGAATGTGTGTATACATGAATGTGTGTTTCTTTGTGACCATTTTTTTTTCTTATTAAGGCCACAATAGAGACAGAGGTCTCCCGCTCTTTCTCGCACACTGATGTTCCGACTCCTCTGGTAGATTTGTCAGGAGGGAGTTGAGAAGGGGAAATAAACTCCGGCGTCAGTTAAAAAGAAATTATACATTCATTTGAATCTCTTTCTAGGGTACGGTTTTCTTCTGTCCCATCCAAAAAGTCAAGAAACTTTGGAAGAGAACTGTGAAGAGACCCAGCATATGACAGGTCAAATGCTGTTGTTAAAAAAAGCAAACAATCAGAAAAAACACAAAGGAACGAAGCACATAAAAGAAGAGGAGAGAAAAAAGACCATCCTGCACTTGTCAAACTACCAACGGATTTATAACAAGATGACCGATGACTGTGATTTGTGGAAGGTATTTTTAAATATACGTTCGTATAACCACCAGACTACAGACCACAATAAGGTCAGTAGAGCTGTGCCTGGGTTGAAGTATTACACAGCAGGAAAGGGTAATTTTAACAAAGTTACAATTCAATTAGCTGTTTGTTTGATGCTTTGAGATTAACCTGATTTGAAGGCTGCAGTCATTTATATATTATCGGGTGATTTCTTTTAAAAGGTAAATAAATAAATAAAACTCGCCAGTACATAAAGAACACACAAAATGAAATTAATTTAGGATATATATTCATTGTGTTTCACGTTGTAGCTGGCAAGCCATTGAGGAATTTACATGGGCCTAGGTGGGACGATTTATACACGCTGTGAGAAGGCAGAGTGCACGTCCTGATTGTCCAGCTCTGATGTGAGTCTAACAAAGTGTAGCCAGAGCCCGCTGCAGGCTGACTTAGAGGCCTCTGCCCCACAGATGCTGGCGGCTCAGAGCTCTGCGGCTAGGTCACTGACCTTTCACGATTTTTAAAAAGAAACCAGGTTCGACAATCTGGTTTGTAGTTTTTTTTTTCTTCTTCCTCCCATTTATAAGCGTACAACTAACAAGAGAAACGGTAGACGCGCGGGGCGTGAGGGGGGCATAAAATGGGTAATGCGTAAAGGCGAAGGATTGGAAGCAGAAGGGTCCAGAGACAATATCTTCATCTATCTCAAAGAAGATTTGGTCTTTTTGAAACAGGATAGTAATGCGTATGTCAATCTGAATGTAACTTCTGTGATTTCTGTCGGGTTGATAGCTTTAAGGACGAAGAGGAAAAAAAAGTGCCAAATAGGCTAGAAGTTTTCCAACTGTTAGTCTTAATAATCTTTCTTCCTAAGTTGACTTTGAAGCTTTTTGGAATCACCGCCCTCCCCGCGCGCGCTCCAAACCTTTTAACATGTATATAATATGTACGCATCATTTGCGCAAAGCTGTGACAAGCTTTTGCCAGACGGTCAACACTATCGTAAGCACTATGAGTCACTTTGATGGTCTCTTTTAAGGCAATACCAGGGTCACCTTTAAAGCAAGCAACATTATAATACAGAGTGTTGCTCGTAATATCTTTAGCTAATTTAACAGCTTTAATAAAATCGTATGCATCACTTGCTGGTCACTGACACATATTTTTTAAAGAACTGTTAAAGACTGAAAAAGTTGCGTCCCATAATCCATTTAAAAAATGTTACTACAGGCGCCAGCTGCAAATACAAGGATGACATGAGCCAAAAAACACAGTAAAGTTAGAGAGCAGACGGTGGGGGCACTTCGGCCTCTCCAGTTCTTTGTTCTAGTTTTATGGCGGCATTAAAAGCATTTACAATCACCCCCTTCCTCTTGTTCTCTCCCACTATCACGCGTTATTTCCTGCTTTAATAACTTACTTTGATCCAGGCCATCTTTGTCCTCATTCCCTTCACTAATGTCCTTGTTTTCTTCGAAACCTGTTCCCTGGATGGCGGCCGAATGGTGGCTAAGCTCGCGCGCTGCCGTGGACGCTGACTCCAAGATGTATGTTGTGGGCTCGTGCTGATGCTGTCCCATGATTTTGGATGCGATCTCCCCACCGAGATGGCCAAGCTGAGGCTCCAGCTTGACCTGACCCGTTTGGCCCTGTACCGGACCAGACTCAGAGCTCCGCGGCGCACATTCCAGCCATGAACGTATGTACCGTGTGTCCGCGGCGGGCACGTGCTGCGCGGGGATGTAGGGATGGTAGACAGCGGGGAGGCCACTGGCACCGTGGTGTGGATTAAATGGGCTCCATGATGACGAGAAGACTGGAGGCTTGGGCTGGAAACTGCAGGACGGATAGGAATCGGGATGGGGATGCTCCGTGTGCGCAGCAGCGCCACCCGGCAGCCTCCCACTCGCGGACGCAGCGGAGCTCGAGCCGGAATATTGGGCGCTAGGAAAGCGAGTCTGGGATGAGAGTTCATCGCTCTCGTGACTTATGATGGAGTCCACGTAATAGTTGCTCAAAGTCCCAGAAATGGACATTCTCGGGCATTATCTGTGAAACGCCTCGAGTTCACTAAATAGAAAACAAGACAAGAGACATTACGAGATTTCCTTCCTTTCCCTCTCTTTCTTTTTCTTCTTCAATTCTGTGCTTTGCTAGGTTGCCCCCTCCCTTTCTTACTTCGTCTCTCTGCCTCTCTATCCCTCCCCTAGTCCCTTTCTTTCGAAACAAAGTGCTACAGCCCTACAGCCTAGCACTGTGCACGGGGGTTTGTCAAGTCTGTGAGCGAGGCGAAAAGTGATTGGCCGGTTTTTTTTTCTTCTAACCTGAAAAAAAGCGTCAATGAAGCGTAAATCACGCATGCACAAGCCCCCACCCCCTACCCCAGATAGATGTTTATATGCAATATGCAAAATTAAGGCTTTTTCCGAATATCTTGTCAATTTATTTACTGCTGCTTTTGATCTAGGATAATATAAAACCGTTAAATTATGTTATGTCTGGACTGTATGTATGAACTGTAAAGCAGAGACAATGGCTGACAAATAAGTAGTGCCAAATGAATGAAAAAAAAACAAACTAAATCAATTCCTGGATCGAGGAGTGTGCTTTTAAAATACCAGTAGTATAAGTGCCAATAGTCCTCCACTTAAGGAGAGTTGACACAGATATGTTCTATCCTAGACAAGATAGGCGGTAAAATTCACACCTATGTGTGTTTTTCATCGTTTACTTGACTCCTGGATCTACTTGGCAGCTTTTCTGAGAGTTCTAGAGCGTTTTTATTGACAGATTAACAGCCAGTTGTGTTAACGAGCGCCATTAAATCGGGTCCTGCGTGGTTAGGTCGCTTGTCTTTATAGCGCAAACTACTTCAACTACTTTTTTGAGTCTGTTTAATACCATAATAAAATCCTAGATCGTGCCGGCTGCTTTGGTTTTTATTGAGTTGATATATGGCCTGTGGTGGTGCGGATTGTAAACGCAACTGGGGCTGTTGAATCTTTCCTGCTACTCCGGTACAGGGTACTTTACACTCAGCGGTCAGCCTGCTATGGGTAAACAAAGCTCGGTCCGGAGCGCAATGGGGGCACCGGGAAGAGAAGCTGGAACGGACTTTTATTTCATGGAACCGGTGGTGACTTCTTTGGCTGAATTATTTGGGATGAAATCCGCCGGTGTGCTCGAAACCAAGAAGCCGAAGAGCAGCTGCAGTCTGTGCTGATCGGGAGTCCTAACATTTGACTTGCAGCTGACCTGCAAAGTCACCGGGCTTGTAAGTCTTTGCATTTATTTCTAATTACAGACTTGGAGTCTTTGACTCGTTCAGGAAGTCATTCTAGTACTCAAGGGTATAAATCCGAACTGTGCATCGTGTATGGAGCTAACAGTTATTTACGACAATTAAATATGAAATACAGGTTGCTTGTTATTAAAGCTGTTATTTACCAGGTGAAAGATGGACTATAGCGCAGCTTTCATATATGCTGAGGAGAAATGATGACTTGTACGATTCTGAGCAACGGCTGGTGAATGTTCATTTCAGGAGAAGAAATGCAAATACAAACCCAACAAACCTAGAGTCCTTCAAACATGACTGGTGACTCTGGCGCACAGTTTGGTATTTGAGCTTGAATTCACGACATTCCTCTGAGCTTTGTGTTAAAGCACTCGTTTACAGCTTCGTTTGAAAATCAAAAAGAAAAAGAAATAAAAATATAAACTGTATTAAAAAAATCTAGCTGTTCATGCTCAATCAAATAGGTTCTAGATAAAGTTATTGTGACCCAGATCGTTTTTATCCACAACAACAAGTAATGAGGTGCGTTGTGAAGCAGTGTAGCACATTGCCACATAAGTGCCAATTAACCGGACAGTTCAAATTGTTAAGCATTAATTAGCATTATTTTCGATATGTTTAGAGTAGAAAAATACATACTGTTTTTCAGGCATAAATGCTAGGGATATTTTTCTTTTTCAGACCACAGACTGTAGGAATTTTAATTGTCGGTGGGCCTCCGCCCTGCAGGGCGTTCTGCCAACTCGAGGAGTTAATTGGAGACAGTGGTACTGAAAAAGCTAAAAGAATTTTTCTGCAAACCACCTTAAATTTCAACATCTTCAGTGGTATGACTAAAGAGAGTTTTGGAAAATAACCTTCATAGACACACAAACAAAATCCAACACCGTCATGCTCGTTTTGTTAACATTGCCCATACCCAATTAGATGTTCTCTTCAAATATCCTGTAGAGAAAATATTTCCCATCTGACATGGCACAGATTGGCACAAAAGCATGAAACAACTGGAAAGACGTCGGTGACCAAAAAAACACAATTTCACTGCGAAAACTGAGCATAATGAAGTACATGTGCAGAAATCAGCCTCGTCTGTTCAACTTTTGTGTTTTTATCTTCGTTTTAGTCAAAGTGCCGAGCTTTAACGGCAACTTCACAGAAAACAAAGCTGAAGCTGTAACCAAACTAATCGGACTTTCCCCCTAACCCTTTCTCATTTATTTCTTTTAAGGGGGGGGGGGGGGGGTTGCAACCAGTAAAGCCATTGCACTAAATCCATTTCCAATATCTCACATTTTCTGTTTTGTGTGTTTTCTGTTAAATATTATCTAAATATCGATTATCTTAATATCGATCGCAGTAGTCGTTTAGTGAGAATGAAGCCAGCTGAGTCAATTAAAAAATAAAGTGTAAGAAAGCTCCACCATCACACTGTAACCAATTACAAATTAGATCTAAAGTTAAAGGTATTTTGGCTGTTAATCACAATAAAGTTAAAATTAAATAAATGTAGTCGGTGGGGTAAGAAAAATAACGCGAACTTTTTCTAAATTATTTCGTCGCAAAACAAAACAAAAACAAAATAATAATAATATATAAATGTAGCATTGACACAGCTAAAATGTCATTATGTAGATATTTAATATTATGAGAAAAGCAGCTCAAATCATCGACTTGGAGACATTTTTTTCTTTTCTTTTTTTAAAGGTAAATATTATTTTTAAATTGCTTTTAATTTTTTTTAGTTTTACTTAGATAAAATATATTCATTAGCCCTTTGATCAGATTTTTTTTTTTAATCAACTAGTCCCTGTGGTATTTGTATTTAATTTAATACAGAATCGGTCGGTTAATTGTTCAGTCGGTTAGTTTCCCTGGGGGAAAGGGGTCTCAACATTCTGTCTCAGGAACTTTTAATATTTAAATATTTCCTTTCCCCTCATACTGGCATTTTTTCTTCATCCGCTGTTCCTTTTTTCCTAAACGGCGGAAACGTTTTGAAAGGAGCGCAAAATAGGCAATAACATAAATTTCATTATCTTCTGAAATAGAGTGAGGGTGTCAAGTATTCTCCGTTGCATTAAAAGAAACATAATAACCTTTTTTCCTGGAATATGCATAATGAGTTAACACACATACAGTCATCGTTTCCTCTTCTGTTCAGTTCTTTCTGATATTAAACTGTATTTTCTATTTTGTTTGTAGAAGTAGTCTGTTTCAATAGGCATGATCACGTGGTCACATTAATATTTTAGTGTAATGTAATTAATATGTTTTTGAATTATTTCTAAAAATCAAGAAAATCTCAAATATTATGAACCTTGAGTACAAAACCAGGGGAACAGACTGTTTCAGTGTTAATTCTACAATAAAAAAATTCCCAAATGTGATAACAGATACTTCAAAAATTAAACTATCAGATTAACACTGATGCATGCTTCTGGTAAAATAACTGCCATGTAATAAAGTCATATTTGCAGTGGAGGTCAGCGTTTACCACTCCAGTAATGGCGGTGTAATAATAAGTCTAAAAAATAAAATAAGATAATAATAAATAATTAAAAGAAATCGTTAACACTTACTCATGTGATTTACAATGGCTCATTTAGGCTTTATATTCTTATTAAAGGTAACGGTTGTTACCTTACAATAAAACCTGCTGAGTATGATAACCTGTGTGATTGATGCGATCTATATATTTTAATAACGACCACGTGGCTGAACGTCGTAGATCATCATATTTCTCAGCTGAAAAGCTTAAGGAGACTTTCAAAGGATTCAATACGTCCTATACATAACACCCCCCCCCC